TTCTCGCAAGCAATTTCGAATCGAATTGATTTGCTTAAAAACATATTCTGGTAAATTTGAGTCTCTACCGAAGCTCCAGTTGGATACATTTTAAACTGTCCCACCATCTGTCCCTTCTGTCCCGGCTATTTTTTTCTCACCTTCTTTCGAAAATTTGTTTGATTCATCCACTTTGCAAGCAATGGAAAATGAAAAGTAGTCTGCTTCAAAAAGGCTTATAAAAACAAGTAAAAAAGCTAAAGTCGGGTGTCCCGACTTTGAAATACTCTGTACTTGTTTAGAATAATTATAGAAATTAAAAAAAGTAACAGAATTAAAAAAATAATTTTTTGATCAATTTTACCTCTTTTGTTATTCGAACTCACGTATAATTGCACATATACAAAGCAATTGCGTCTATGTGAGTGTATGTATGTTTATGCTCGTATATTCGTGTCTGTGTAAGCATGTTAGCAGTCAACTAAACAGCAACATCAACAACAGCCGCGACGCAAAACAATAGTGGGCAGGTGTGTAAAGTAGCAGGGACCGGCAGCGTAGCGGCTGGCGAAGTGGCTGCAGCAACAAATCTGTATAGCGGAGGCGCTCGTCGACGCTTGCCAGAGAAGGGCCCACTTTCAAAGAATTAACAGCGGCGCGAAAGAAATAATTGCGCCGTTCAACTCAGCTTTCCTTTACTTCACTTTATTAGCCTTCAATGGCGATCAAAACAGGCAGATGGCCCAAATACTTAAGGATCTAATTTACACATATGGAGATGCTTAAATGATCCGCATCAGCGGAGAACACAACCGTATCGATAAGCGCAAATCGATACTTGAGCGCCAAGCTCGCAGTTTGCACTATGCACTACCGATTTGCATTACAATACTTTGTCGGCTCCGCCACGCCTCCTTCTTCCTGTTACATTTTTCAGCTCCCGCAAACATAATATTCTTCTGTACATTTCATGTACAGAGTATAATACCCCCCTGTACCCCCCAAAACGTAAAACGCTATATTAGTTTTTTGCGAATGTATGTAACAGGCTGAAGGAGGCGTGGCAGGCCCCACAAACTATATATATGACCGTCTGTCCGTCTGTCTGTATGAACGCAAGGAACTCAGAAAGTATAAGAGCTAGAACAACCAAACTGGTATTCAGATTCTCCTAAGTCCGAGAAAGTACGAGTTTAAGTTTTTTTTTCGATGCTCCCCCTACTCCTCCGCAGTTCGTGTTTTTTTACAAAACTTCCGTAATTTTTGTAATTTTCTACTCAGATTTGGCATGTACCTCCAGTTAGTGATTATGAGTCCGTATGCCAGTTTCATCATGATAGGTCAATTCTGAAGAAAATTATAACCATAAATAAAATCGCTGCCCGCAGCGCTGTCTGCAGCTGTTGTTGTTGCTGCTTTGGTTCAACTTTGTGCTGCATACATACAGGCATATAAACACCCAGAGACACGATTCTGTTATTAATTTATTCTATTGGAATTGTACATAAACAATTGTGTATACATGTATGCATGTGCTGAATATTTTATATTTCATTAAATATTAATTACTTTAATTAATTAAATTTTTTTTAATATTTTATTTTTTAAATTTATTTTTTATGTGGAGAGTACAGGTTATTTTACGGTGGGGCTTGCCCGACTGTAGCGTTCTATCTTGTTTTCCATAACTCCCGTAATTCTTTGAATTTTCATCATGATACGTCAATCCTGAAGAAAGTTATAGCCATAAATAAAATCGCAGCTCATGCTCTGCTTGTGGCTCTGCCCGCAGCTGTTGTTGTTGATGCTGCTTTGGTTCAACTTTGTGCTGCATACATACACGCATATAAACACGCATAGACACGATGATGTAGGTATTAAAAAAATTTAATTTATTAATTTAATTAATTAATTCCATTTTTTTTAGTAATTAAATTTTTTTTAAATAAATATTTTTTTAATTTTCCTTTTTTGTGGAGAGTACAGGCTATTTTACTGTTTTTCTTTTTAAGTAATTCTATGCTTCTCCTCTCTATTAAGTTTTTCCTTTTTTATTATTATTATAAAAGATAGAGAAGCTTACAAAACTGAACTAACTTAGGTGGTATAGCGCTAGCCTTCGGCTATGTTGTTTGGTATTGGTATTGTTGGTGGTGGTCTATTTACAAGTACATATGCTGTATGTTAGCCTAATTATATGTACATAATTGATTATGTAATTTATACATTTATTATACATTGTTTAGGAATACATTCTTATATTTACAGTTTTTTTTTTTTTTTTTTTTTTTTTAGTTTTTGGTACATGTTGGATGTTTTTAGGAAAAGCAAGATTTTTTGTATGTTATCTGTGTTGAGGTTGCTGAGGAGGTTTAGGAGGTTTAGGAGGTTTGTGTTGCTGAATATAGACTGTCTGGTATGGATGAGAGCTGCACATGCATGTGGTGGAATGTGGTGGTATATGGTAGTGTTGTTGTCTTGGCAAAAAGGGCAGGATGGTGGTTGGTTACGGTTAAGGTAATGTTGATGGGTCAGGTTAGTGTGGGCTAGTCCTGACTGACTGATTGGTGATCAACGCACAGTCCAAACGGTAAAGGCTAGGAAGCTGAAATTTGGACTTAAGTATCCTTTCATAGTCTAGGTGCCCACTAAGAAGGGATTTTGGAAAACTCGAGCACCAAAGGGGGGAAAAGTAGCTCCAAAGTTTGTTTGAAAAATCCGCATTTTTCAACCGATCGACTTAAAACTTTGTTTCTAAAATCAATTAAAGAATACAAACAAAACTGCATACTTAGATTTTCGAAATTTGTGTTGGAGCTTGAATTATTGGGGTTTTAATATTTATTCACTATTTCAAATGGCTTTAGGCTTTTCATTAATAACTTTATGCAGCAACAACAAATATCAAATAGTTGGGGACATCACATACACACACTCACACACACAACAAGCAACAGTTCGTGTCTATGTGTGCGGTTCTCTACGTACGGTTGAAAAAGTAAAGAGAAACATCCATATGTATGCCTGTGTACTTATGAATATAGCATGTATGTACATTCGTATTAATGTATACATTGAGCAATCGAACACAGTTGTTTGATTGTAAAAAAAATAATGCTCTAAAAACAACAACAACTAGCAAATTGAGATGAGAATTGTCAGAGCTTTTTGATCGTGGCTCATCGCTGCACGGCATTGACACGAGTGCCGTGTTTCATATTCCGAGTTTGTGCGTGACCGTATTGACTCAATATGGCACGAAAAGACTCAAATGTGAATTTAAAATTAGGATATACCCTTATAATTATTCCCCTTTTTTGCACATAGTCTATCTTAAAACGTTGCGTTATCTCTATATATAAAACAGTTTGTCCTTACTAATTGGTGATCAACGCACAGCCCAAACGGTAAAAGATGAGATTTGGACTCAAGTATCCTTTCATAGTATCCATCATAGTGTAGGAGCACACTGAGAAAGGCTTTTGGAAAATTCTAGCTCCAAAGGTGGGAAAACAAACTTTAAAAAATATTAGTTATAGTGGTCATGTTCGTTTAACGAAATAGTTTGGCAAGAACAAAAATGTAACGGACTACTGAACAATTTTTTGTCAATAACAGAAAATGTTCATTTAAATACCTTAAATGCATTCCTACTGGTAACTTATAAGGTGAAAACATATGGGTAGGTTATGCACACACAAAATAAATACAATTGGAAACATTATATTGAGCCGGGTTAAGACGGGCAATACCTGCTATTAGATTTTAGATTACATAGCTGCATACAACACTGTGTTAGCTTAAGATAGGCTAGCCGATAGAATTACACGGTCCTCATGCGACGCCTTACAAACGCAGCATGTGGACCAACCTAATTATATTGTCTAATAGAAATCACAATCAATTCCACACGCTGCTGCCCTACAACACAGCGTGAGTTTTGAATAAAATCGTGCACGGGCAGTACGAATCAAAGAACCGACGCGTAGTCATTTCAAGTGTAAAAGTATCTGCACCGCCTATGGAGGACTTTCGGAAACCTCCCCCTCTCCACCGCAGTTAGTAATTTTCTATAACTCACGTAATTTTTCACGTAATTTTTCATTCTAATGTAAGAAATACCTCCACTTATGAGTCCGTATGCCAAGTTTCGCATACACTCCCATAGATACAATTCCTAGTATCTGCAACTAACATAATTGTCTTGTTTTAAGTTTTCTTCATTTTTTAAATTTCTATTATTATTATCAATGTTGTAACACTCGACTTTAGCTTTTCCACTTGCTTTACTCTTTTTATAGCCTGTACCCAAAGGGTGAAAGGCTATACTAGTTTTGTGGGAATGTATGTAACAGGCAAACGGAGGCGTGGCAGACCCCACAAAGTATATATACACTTGAGCAGGGTGACAAGCCGAGTCGATATACCCATGTCCGTCTGTCCGTCTGTATGAGCGCAAGGATCTCATAAGGTGCAAGAGCTAGATTGACGAAACTTTGTATCCAGGTTCCCCTGAGCCCTAGGCAGGTCAAGTTTTTTTTTTTTATTCTCCCACGCAATTCATGTTTTTTTATAACTTCCGTAATTCTCGGAATTTTGAAATAAATTTTGGTAGTTACATCCAGTTAGTGCATATGTGTCTGTGTGCCAAGTTTCATCATGATAGGTAAATTCTAAAGAAAATTAAAGCCATAAATAAAATCGCTACACATGCGCTGACTGCAGCTCTGCCCGCAGATGCCATCAAAATTCATCATCTGCTATGATTATCTACTTTTGTTTTAAATTTCATCTAAATCAGTTAGTTTTAAGAAAAGTTATTAGTGAAACAATTTTACTTCGGTACTACGCCCACAAGCTGCAGCATCAAGTTCGCTCTTCTTCTTCCTTTTGCTTCTGCTAGAGGCGCATATACCTCAGTACCGGAAGTTTGCACGACTGTAGCGTTCTTTCTTGTTTTCCATTTCATTGTTGTTATTTTCTTAATAGCTGAACAAATTCTGTATCTTTATTTCTTGTAGTGTTTTTTTAGAACGCAAGGTACAAGACGGCGACAGTGGACACCAAGCTGTGAAGAAATACTATGTACAACCAATCGAAGACCATGCTATTCGAGATTCTATTTTATGGACGGACAGTACTATTCAATCGAATTTCAGCCCAGCTCCACAGCAAGCGATGTAATGCAAGTGATTAAAAAAAAAATTGGATTACATGACAATTCCAAAGGATATGCATTATATGAAGTTTTTGGAGATACAGAAAGAAGTCTTTTACCTGAAGAGAAGGTTTGTGATGTAATGGCAAAATGGGAAAAGTATCGATCTGCAACAGAACACGTAAAGCAAAATCAAGTAAGAATTTTTAGTATTTTAATTATGTTTTAGTACTTCACAAATAAGTAACTTATGTGAACATTAGATTCATCAATGATATCTAAAATGGTCATGTAGGGTCTTATATATCTAACACAATTTAAATTAGATCTTATTTTTCGGAAAAATTACAATACCTCTGACCACACAGATATAATATATCTAGTAGTAGTTAAAAACTCTTTATTGGTTACATCTGAATTAAGTCTTAATATACTGAATAAAATATCTTGTATACTAATTCTACTTTCCATTTTTTACTTTCAGCCACTTAATAATTTTGAATACAACCATCATCATGTATTTTTATTTAAAAAGCATCTATTCTGTGACGACTTCATCAACTTAGACGATCCAATTGAAAAAGAATTGCTATATCACCAAAATTTGCAAAACCTACGAACTGAACACTATCCTATTACAGAAATGGAAGCAATCATGTTAACAGCTTTACAAGGACAACTGGAGCTTGGAGACTGTGGAGATAATTTGACTGATTATAGAGGTGTTGCCAGCCATTGTTTACCACCGAGATTTGTTCCTAACATTCCTCATGAAGCCGTTGCAATGCATCATCAGAGCTTAAAAGGAATGCTACCAGCGGAAACAAAAAAAGCTTTTTTGAATTTGATACAAAGTTGGCCACTTTACCGTGCAACTATTTTCGACGTAATGGTAGGTGTATGAAAAAGGGATTCAATATTATTTTAAATATTATTTATACTGTGTACCAAAAAGGAACAAGAGTAACTTGGCAACTTGTTTGTTGCTGTATCCTTCGATGACAGCCAGGATGTCTTGTTGACTTCGAATCGTCTGACGTTTCCTGTAGAGTCTGAAAGAGGCGTAGCAACAAACTAAAAAGGTAGTCACAGTCAATCCAGATATTATGGGTTATTTTATCAGTTTATAACTCTTTGTATAAAGAACCATTCAAAAAGACATCTTCGTCGAAGGTTAGGAGGAACGTGCCGGTTACAATTTTGACTCGTCGTTGATGATGATGACGCCGTCGTCGATGACCGTGAATGACTCGAGATGGCTGGGTCGAGTGGTACAATGGGCCGTGCCACCAGAGTGTAGTTAATGGTTATGTTCGTACGAACGCTCATTGATTATGTTATTTAAATCGCTAGAGTCTAATATTGCTGGGTTAATAATTCCAATCGTTGTGAGTGTAACAGATAACATTAAAGTTTCAAGTTCCGAAATTAATATTCTATTTCTTGACAGCAAAGTTTCGTTCTGTGTTTATTTGGCTATTCTTTGAATTTTTTATTAGCATGTTTACTGCGTCTGTTAACTTATTTAATTGTTATTGCGTTTTCGTATTTATATTTACCTGCCTATTTGCAAATTCATTGAGCTCCTGTTGTGTCAGATTCAATTTTTCAAAGTCGTCAAAGTACGGAGTCCCAGCAACTACCTTTAAACCCGTGCCTAACATGTTAATGCTTCTGGCGTGCCGATGGTGAATGTCTATTATTGCTAAGAGTGTTCTCGTGTGTTGTATGTCCGAGTCTAGTATCTGTTTCATGTGTGATTGAGTAAAATGGTTCTCCCTGTTTCACCCATTATTTCCGCGAACATTTTAAATTAGTCGAGTACTTTAAATATTGGAAATCTTTCCAAATGGTCGTGAATTAAGACTGTGGTCCCCAAGTCTGCTTCCACTGTTTCTTCGTTGTACAAGGATGTTAGTTTATTTTCCAGTCTCCTATTTGATCTTACGAGGACTCTGTCTCCTACCTGGAAATTTACATTTTGTATTCGTTCGTTTAACCTTTGCATTTGTATATTCTGTACTTTAAGGACTTTATCTCTTATTTCTGCGTCAATCTCTGGGGAAGAAGAATGAATCACGTCAATAGGTCGTTTGTCGATAACTGAATGTATTGTCTTGTTGTATTCTATAGTTGCCTTAAGTACTAGTACGGTTGTGTCAGCAATATTACTTTCAGACATCTTGCGATTTCAACAAGAGTTCTCTGGAATATGTCAAAATATGTCAACGTGCAATATCTCACCCACATGCAACGGAATAGGTGTCTCTCCAAGTACCTTTTGGGGGTGCTGATCATATTTTTCTTTTTGACAAATTTTGCAATTTCCAACCACTTCGTTTGCGAGTTGGGTTATCATGCGTTCGGGTTGCGGTCAAAGACTGCGAATGTCAGGGGCTGGTGGTCGGTAAAAATATTAAAATTTTTCCCTCCGTACAAGTAATTCCTGAGGTTCTTTAGAGCCCTTACTATAGCGAGCAACTCCCTTTTGCTTGTAGCGAAATTTAGGTCTCTATCTTTTAAAGTCCTAGATATCATAGTTATGGGTTTTCCGTCTTGAGACAAGGCTGCTCCCAAACCAAAGGATGAAGCGTCAGTTATTAGGTCAAACGGCTTCTTATAATCAAGATAGAGTAACATTACATTTTCGGATTTAAGAACCTCTTTAAGCCTTCAGAATGCCGCGCATTGTTTCTGGTGGAAATATACTGGTATTTTCTTTGACTGATCAGCGCAAACATTTCCATTTTCTCCCTTTAAAATATCATTTAAAGGTCTTGCTATTGATGCGAAGTCTTTAATAAAGCATCAGTAGTAACTTGCCAATGCATGAAAGGATCTGACATTGAACATATATATATATATATATATATATATATATATATATATATATATATATATATATATATATATATATATATATATATATAGCTTTGCAAGTATATATATATATATATCAGCAGGTATTGCCGTCTTAATCCGGCTCAATATAATGATTCCAATTGTATTTATTTTGTGTGTGCATAACCTACCCATATGTTTTCACCTTATAAGTAAGTTACCAGTAGGAAGGCATTTAAGGTATTTAAATGAACATTTTCTGTTCTTGACAAAAAATCGTTTTCCCCTCGTTTTCCCCCCTTTGCAGCTAGAATTTTCCAAAAGCCTTTATTAGTGTGCTCCTACACTATGATGGATACTATGAAAGGATACTTGAGTCCAAATTTCATCTTCTACCGTTTGGGCTGTGCGTTGATCACCAACGTTTTCAGATAGACTATGTGCAAAAAAGGGGAATAATTATAAGGGTATATCCTAACTTTAAATTGTCATTTGAGTCTTTTCGTGCCATATTGAGTCAATACGGTCACGCACAAACTCGGAATATGAAACACGGCACTCGTGTCAATGCCGTGCAGCGATGAGCCACGATCAAAAAGCACTGACAATTCTCATCTCAATTTGCTAGAGTACATCTTTCGATAGTTGAAGCCACCGATACCATCAAAATATCGAAGTTTGAATGCAATAAGCAGAATATTTAAATAATAAAATCTAATTATTTATTGAGATCGATAAGAACAAATCATATACATACATACATCTGCCCGCAATGCGAAGCAGAATATGCGTAGCTCCGTTATTCGGTTTCTGCTTTACTATCGCTTACGCAGTCGTTGCCTAGCGACGGTAACTGTAAACTTTTGGCGTTTTGCCTTTGCAATTAACATTAAATGGTCAAAACGAAAGAAGAAGAGCGAGCCAACAACTTGAAGTTGTTGTTGTTTTGTATGTACATGCTACATACATATACAGGCATACGTACATATGCTTGTACATATGTATGTATGCATGGGCACACATAGACACGAACTGTTGCTTGTTGTATGTATGTGTGAGTGTGTGTATGGGATGTCCCCAACTATTTGATATTTGATATACATATGGCAAGTAAAAAACATATTGCTATATTTTAATCGTTGAATGCCAATTTGTTGATATAGTTATGTTGATAACATTACCCAAATTTGAAATCGATGGGACAAAATATATCGAAAATATCGATACTTGTGTTGATATATCGTAATACATGTCGAATACAAATACAACGAAAAAAAACGTTTGTGAGTTATTGATTATAATACTGTATTCGATTGTTCACTGTACACATATGTACATAAATACATACAAATGTATTTGCATGTGTACGATAACTGTAAACTTTTGGCATTTTGCGTATGCAATTAACAGCCGTAAATGATCAAAACGAAAGAAGATTTGCCAGCCAATAACTTGTTGTTGTTGTTTTAAAAATTTCGATTTGAAACCATATAACACTATTTATTACAATTAAACAACAGTGTTCGATACATACAAACCTATATATGTACATATATAAGAATGTATGTACGTACATACATACTTATTGATGTACATATGTTCATACTATACATACAGACGTATGTACATATGTATGTACGTATGTAAAACATATGGTGCTGGTGTAATTCATAATGCGAAATTCTTTCTAAGGGGAGCAATGTCCCCCCTGCCCAACCTGCGTACGCCCTTGTAGTCCGTTGTCCTAAAAACCCCTTATGCCAAATGTACTAAACAAAGAAAAAATACCATAAAAATGTTTATGTTATAATGTTAATAATTTTTAATTAATTAACATTTCTTGCCCTGTCAGTGCAAGACGAATGTACTGTTATACATATGTATCTATTTATGTATGTACATACATGTGTACAAATGAACATTCACACATTAGCGTCTCACATTTTGCTTTGACTACTTCAACCGTTTGCACGCAACTACACGAACAGCTGCTTGTATGTATGTTTGTGTGTGTGTGTGTATGTATACTTAGTTGTCCCCAACTGTTTGATATTTTTTATTGTTTGTTCTGCCTACATTTGTAAAATGCATATTTTAAAAATCTTTAAATGCAAAGTTGTAATTTTAGTTACGTAGATTATATTACCCAAATTTGAAATCGATCGGACAAAATTTATAACACAACCTTTTCATTTGAAAAATGCATAAATATTAAAACCCAAATAATTCAAGCTCCAACACAAATTTCGAAAAACCGAGTATGCAGTTTTGTTTGTATTCTTTTATAGATTATAAAAACCAAATTTAAAGTTGATCGATTTAGAAATGCAGAATTTTCAAACAAACTGTGGAGCTACTTTTCCCCCCTTTGGAGCTCGAATTTCCAAAAACCCTTCTTAGTGCGCATCTACACCATAATAGGATACTTGAGCCCAAATTTCAGGTTCCTAGCTTTTACCGTTTGGGCTGTGGGGTGTTGATTGTGTTTCAATTTTTCCACGGAAAACCCCCCCTTTTTCATGCCCCAGGAAAAATGGTGAAAAACCAAGTATACAGTTTTTCTTGTATTCTTTTTGAGAGTATACAAACTCAGTTTGAAGTTAATTGGATGAAAATTGTAGAATTTTCATACAAACGTTGGAGCCCGTTTTCCCCCCCTTGGCGTTCGAATTTTCCAAAACCGCTTCTTAGTGCTCACCTGCACCACTGAAGACAACATATGCCCAATTTTCAGCCTCCTAGCTCTTACCGTTTGGGCTGTGCGTTGATTGCAAATAGCTTTTCGTTTACTGAATTTTCCACCGGAAAATCATTATTTTTCAGGCCGCAGGAAAAATATTGAAAATCCAAGTATACAGTTTTTTTTGTATTCTTTGTGAGAGTATACAAACTAAGTTTTGAAGTTAATCGAATAAAAATCACCTTTACCCTAAACAAACAAACTTGTCCTACATTGTCGCTAAACAACATCAATATTCCACAAAAAAACGATGTAACATACCTTGGTGTCCATTTGGATAGACGGCTTACTTGGCGCAAACACATCGAGGC